TATCCAAGAATTTATAATTATTAGGAAGAAATTCAGCTTCAATCCATTTCTTTGGTATGTGTTGATTGATAATAAGTTAAAAAAAAAAATTAGGAACCAACAAAAATGTAAAACCCGCAAAACGTCGTTTTAGACCTCGCACGCTTTTCAAAGCGTCGCGACGAGTTTTAAGTGGGAAATTCGAGGATGTCGGGTTTCGATGGAGATAATTTTGAAAAATTCTACGCAAAATTCGGTCGTGACAAAAAATAAGTTAAGAATCAATAAACTAATGACGTTTGCAGTACCAACTACTTGTTATATTGATTTATCAAAAATTCTGACTGTATAGTTCATTAAAAGAAATAAGAGTACCAAATAAGGATATCTATTTTATTCCCTGTCATATGATCAAAGGCTCCAAAGCCCGTGATCAATGATTGTAGATATCTATTATAGATGTTAAGGCATTTAAGACAATGCCTTGTTGAGCCATTACAATGATGTTGATTTTAGGTGCTTAAGAAGTGGTTTGAGCTGAATAACTGATGAGTTGGAAAAGGTTTCTTGAATAAAATTGTTGCCATGGGATTTTGATTCGCAACAGGAGGACGCATTAGAGAAGGAGCTTCTTTCCAAAGTCATTTAATGTTTAACCATCACAATTGTTTAAATCGGGGGATAAAACTTTGTAGGAATTATGAGAAAAGATTAGAAATTTAATAGGCATTAGAATACAGAGGATAGCTCTAATAACATGCTGAAAAAAAAAATGAGAAGAATGTTATACTGTTTTCATTTTCTATTAGATTAGAATGGTACAGATTTTATGGGAGAAACGTAACCCAATTAGTGGCTCTAGAATGGAAATAAAATTAAAGTGTCATAAGCTGCCAATAAGGCGAAATAGGGAAAATTTAGAATCCAAATCAGAGAATGAATTCAGGGTATAATGTTTCTGAGTAGAAAACTGCAATCATTAGCATATGGAAAATTTTGGTTTTCCAAGCTAGATCAGCCAGCGGATTATCCAGAAATGGATCTTTTAGATATGTAAGGTTGGAGTCGTTGGACAAGTGCAGCTGGCAGGATTCCAAGAAAAGCTGGAAATCTGTAATTCCATTGGACAGCTAGGAAAGGGGATTCTGGAATGGGAAATAAATTTGCTGCAATTTTCAAAGTTTCCAAATTGGTCTCCCGAAAATCTGCCATTTGTTATAGAGATTTCCTGACAAGACTTCGGGATTTCCAAAATAAAATTGCTATTGTCAAGTCGTATAATAGTATAAAATCAAGCATATCTCCTCCCATCACATGCATATTTCTTATTATGTACCCACCATGAATCCTATCATAGATCAGTATACTAGAACTTACACATTTATTTAAGTCAACCCAAATTAATATCCTCTTTCTCAAGCATCATAATTGATTAGTCTATTTTCAAAATATATTTTAAAATTATCTTCTAGTACAACTTGAAAAGCAAAAGAACCATCGACACCTTGCTATCCTTAAGAGAAAATTAAATCAAACTATAACTCACTCTGTTCACCTCAACATATTTATCATTCAACTCTTTTCCACTACTACGCTTACATCACTTCTATTTTTAACATTTCAAACGTATAATAACTTAGAATCCTCCCCAATGGTCTAAGAGTTTGCACTATTTCATCAGGCTTTTTATGAGAAAAAGTAACATTTATTCTTTTTCTAATCATTACAATAAGACACGTATGAAATACCTAATAAAAATGTCATTAACATCAATTCTTTAACCTCAATGAAGACTCACTTGAGAAAGCATACCTATCATTTTTCTGCAGCAAAACTGATGAGGACATCATAATTCGCCACGTGTACCATCGTCGGAGACGCAAATCGACGGCTACAATCCAAAGCATTTGTTTCTAATTTGCTTTGTATTTTATTTATTCTCGCATTTTAATTTCCAGGCTCGCCCCTGTGGGTATTTAGTCGTAGCCCTGTGGGCATTTGTGTCTTTCTAGCTTTGTCTTATCTTGGCCTATTTAAAGGAGGCCTCATGCATTGTAATAGATGATGAATTGTTAATGAAAATTTTAATACTACTTGTTTGATCTCTTGGTGAGTTCATGAGAGGAGAGACCCGAGGGTAAACGCAATACCCATCAATCTTGGTGGATTCCAAGGTTCGCGGTTCTTTAATTCTTCTTTTCTTTTTATTTTCTTGTGTTAAATCCCCTCCCCTAAACCTTCTTCCGCCGGCCTCTCTCCAACCCCACATCCCTCTGCTCCCCAAAACTGAGGCCCCCCACCTTTGCCGTTGGCCTCCTTGGGCCGCCCAAGCCGCCGGATATTTCCACCACCAGCCGGCCGGCCATCTAGCCACCGGCCTCCAACCCTCCACCCGCCGGCCCATCTGTCCCCCAAGCCTAAGCATTTGAAATTCAAATTTCGAAGAGGCATTAATTGCTTTCCTAAATTAAGTTCAAGAAATTAGGAAAGTTACTTAAATGAATTTCAATTCAAATTTGAAATTCAAAAAGCTTTCCAAATACTATAACTAATTTTGGAAACCCCTCTTTAAAATAAAATCTGAATTTTAATTCAGATTTTTTTTAATGCTTTGAATAATGTGTGGGCCCCACTTAATTAACCATAATTCCCCTCTTCCCTCTCTCTATTTGGCCGGGCCCCTTCATTGGGCTTATCTCTCTCCTATTGCATTAATTGCTCCTCAATTACTCTCCCCCTAATCCCTCATAAACCGCCGGCCCCTCCCCATGATGGAATTAATTTGATTTTCAAATTAATTCCCCCCATCCCACCTAATTAGAAATCAAATTCATATTTCTAAATTTTCTCCCAATCCCCAAACCCCTACTCCTTTTCTTTATTTCTTTCCCATAATGACCTCCCACTCAACTCCTTAATTTGAATCCAATCAATTCATATTGGATTTGACTTATTCCAATCAGCATTGACGGAGAGTTCTGGGAAGGAAATGCTTCGTTTCCCTGCAGCCCCTCTCCCCCCCCCCCCCCCCCCCCCCCCCCCCCCCCCCCTACTTCTCTTCCCTGTAGGGGATTCCTGGATGCTGCCTGGAATTAAAGCAGCATAATCCTACTGCTCTGCTTCCCCAGTAGACCCGTATTGTTGCCTAGGACTCCTCTAACAGGACAAACTGCTGTCCCATCTCCTTACTTGCTGTTTGGACTGATGTTGGAAGTATTCTGAAGGCCAAAAGGGTTTCTTAACCAACACTTTCTGCTTCCTACACGTCTCCAGTTGCTGTCCAATCAGTTTGGTGGCCATATTTCGCTGCCCTGCTGTCTGAGAAATCAATGATCACCTTCCTAAATGTGTCCAAGCCTTGACGTTGCTGATTACTCTTCATCCAGTGGCTTGGTGATCAAACCGGAAGCTTCGCATTCTCTGATTATTTCGGTAAACTCTCCCCCAAATCATTAAATCTCTTAGTCACTGTTCAAATGTGGTTTATAAATGATTCATGAAAATTCTCGTCACTCTCTCCGCTAAACCCTCTTAACTAGATAAGTTGAGTGAGGGATCTCCTTGTAGTGACTAGTCTTATTATTAGTGTAGGGATTTCTTGTTGAAACCACTCATGCATGCAACATAGATTAAGTTGGCTATTTTTTTTTATCTTAACTTCTATACATGTGGTTTAGCCTAAGCTTGTCTTACCGCTCTTTGTGTTTTATTGCGTCGTTTAAATTCACCATTAAGATATAATTATTTGTTCAAGGAATATTAAGTGTGCAAATTTCATTAAGTAACTCATCTTCACATGTTTGTACTACATCAAAAACAGCATAAGATTTCAGAATGGAAATAAAAGGTTGTTCCATCGCAAGAAATAGTAACATTATCATCACACAAAGAGTTCAAATACTAGTAATTACATGTCTTTCTCCAGCAGATCTCTATTCTTCAATTTTATAAAAATAATATATGAAGAAATATAAAGATTCAAAATTTCCTTACAAGAGAACAAAATGAGATAAAATGTATATTAATTTACAAATAGCATGCAAGAACATAGCTGAAATAAGAACAAAAACAAGACTAACATTTTATTATCATACTAGTACATTAGCACGATCCAACATATATATGGAGTGCAATTTTCAATAGTAAAAGACCTAGTGAGGGGAGTGTGACTTTGGACTATCAAGTCATTAATAAGAGTACACATTTTAGATATCTTGAATCTATTGTTCAGAGTGATGGTGAAATAGATGGGAATATTATCAGCAGAATTCAAGTTGGATGATTGAAGTGGAGGAATGCATCGGGCTTGTTGTGTGATAGAAAAATACCCCTCAAACTAAAGGAAAATTCTATAAGATGGTGGCGAGGCCTGCAATGCTTTATGGCGTCGAATCTTGGCCATTAAAAGAGAAGCATAATACTAAGTTAAGTGTGGCAGAGATGAGGATGCTCAGGTGGATGAGTGGCTTTACCCTTAGAGATAGGATACGAAATAAGCATATACGTGAAAAGTTTGAAGTAGCTTCAGTAGAAGATAAGATTAGAGAGAGTCTCCTTAGATGGTTTGGTCACATAAAACGGCGGCCTTCCAATGACCCATTTAGGAGAGTAGAGCTATTAGATTTGACTTATGTTAAAAAAAGTAGAGGCATACCTAAAAAGACTTGGTTAGAAAATATTAGGAATGGCCTTTCTTTATTAGATTTAAACGAGAATTGGACTTTTAATATGACATAATGGAGAAAAAATATTCATATAGCAGACCCCAAGTAGTGGCATAAAGGTTTGATGTTGTTGTACTAATACATTAGAGAGAGACACACACACACACACACATATATATATATATATATATACATACAGAGAGAGAGAGCGAGAGAGAGAGAGAGAGCGAGAGAGAGAGAAGCACACACACATGGAGACCAACAATTAAGGCTCAATTGTAGTGAAAACTGTAATCCATGCTGGGAAATGTTCAAAATCACACGTGAATGAGTAAGAAACAATATTATATCAGGAACCTGCTCTTCTCCTCTAATACCATTTGAAGTTGTTCCTGAGCTTTCCGGGTCACTTGTTCTATCTTCATCTGCACTCAGTAAATATGTTAATGTTATTAAGGATACAATTAAAAACAATAAATTTCATTCAGTAGCAGGAAATCAATCCAAAAAAGACTAAATGGCAAAGAAGCGGATACCTAAGCTAATCATCAATTAAAATAACCACAAAAATGAGTACCTGCAAAGCAGTAGCAGTTTCCATCGTGACAGTCGGGCTTATGGCATTGCTCCTTTTAACAAATTCCATAAAACGAACATAGCTCTCCATTAAGATCTGCCAATAATTATATCAACAATAACAATTAATATCCATAAACATAGGAAAATTATTACCATTTTATTCCTAAATTACAATAATTTGAAAAGGGAGAGGATAAAAATGATATGATCAGCATTCACAAAGCATTCTTATTACTAACTGAAGACTGCTTGACCATAGAAAAGATTAGAAGAATGAAAATAATTTTGAAAATCAAGGGTGATGGTGAAGATCTTATTTCCAATAATCACAGAGCATTGCCGCTGGAAACTAATTGAAACAGTCCAATGTAGTTGTGGGCTCCGAAAATTCGGCCCCGGCCTCCGCTCGCTTTTCTTATTCGGCGAGGGAGTTTTAACGAACTAAGTTCCGGGGTAAATTTTGGAAGGCAGATGGGTTTGTAGATAAGACACTACCCAGAGATTTCGCCCTCATTTTGCGAGGACTTTATGATCTGAGTTCTGGTTTCCTATAGGCGCAAGCCCCTATAGTTAATTACCCCTCTCGATCACGAGAGAGTTTTATTCCGGCGTCCGTTCCGCGGAAATCTGAAGCAGTAAAGCGTTATGCATCTCTCATTAATTCTTTGATTCAGATCTCGAAGGGATTTTTACAAGTGACACGCGGAACCTGAACGGCCGACAATGGTGCCTGTGACCATTAAAAGGGGCACTGACGCGTAAAATCCTGCCGTAACATCTTCCGAGTCGTGTAAATAACGCTATCCTGCCATGGTGGTGTTCTCCACCTCTCGTAGTGTAATAATCTTATCTATGTATACGGTAAAAACACTGTACGTATTATATATTAGTAGTTTCATCAGAGGGGGATAACTATATTATAGCGGGTATCATTATATAGATCATTATACGTAGTATGTTCTTACAATAATATCTGCAGTGTATACCAATTTGGCGGGAAACTGCCAGGTTAGTAATATAAGGAATGCAATCATATACCAACTTTATCAACGCTATCTCTTGATTCAGTGACTAATATCATAAGCATAAAGTTAAAGACTTGGTGGGTGTTTATTTTGCCGATATTCAAGCTATGACAGGCGAGCAATTCGACCAAAGAATTGATTTGAGTCGTAAATGGTGACATAAGGTTAGTCTGGTTGCCTAGGCATATTGTTCGACTACGAATTCAGTCGATGCATTTTAATTCGTTACAAGGTCAGTAGATTTCATGTAAGAAGTTGTCGCTGTTCTTCACTCTAGTCAACTGAACAGATAATAATTTGATTGCATACACATATTACTTGTTTCAACTTCTTCAGCACCTCCTATTTTTACTATGCAATTAGAACACCGAAACTTTTATTTGTAGAGAGGAGGAAAGCCGTCGGGGCCCGACCCTCATCTATACAGGTTATGATGTTCTCTTTGCTATTACAAAGTGTCTGTAGATAAGATGGAAAAATTATTATCATAACTCTACTTCTTCTTTTTTTAACATATTTTATGAGATTCGCTCTATGATGTATTTTGTGAGTTTGCGAGAGTAAGACTTTATTGTTGACATTCTCTGAACGCAATATGATTGTGGTAACAAGATGTTATAATATTTATGCTTAGTATAGCCTTCATTTGTCAAATGACGTATTGTATTACAATTACCAAATTAGCAGTGTTGAACAATTAGAGAAGAGTTATATAAAATGGCAATAATGCACCTATCCGGAATTGTAGTATCTGACCATTATTCTACAGTATAAGTAGATTAACTTCACACGGCAATCTGGTGTGACTATTACATTTATATTCTATTATAGGTGATTGTTGAGTTAGATTGACTAACTAGCTCCTGATCAATTTTATGTCCAATCAAAATTACTATAAAATTTTTTAAGAGACACTCAAAAGTGAATTGTTAATATCTTTAAATGAAGATGTAATACCTAAGATCAAAATTCGAGCAGAATTATTAATTATATTGATTAAACTGTCAAGTTACATATGAGCTTTTATGCTTTCTGTGATCATATCGAGTCTTGAGATTTACTATTTTGATATATTTGTAAGGCTTTGAATAGGCCTATAATTATCGGAATGATTACTTAAACAAAACAATATAATATTTCACTTCAATAATGCATGTTTATATAATAGATAAAATTTAAAATATCAGGCTAAGGACCGGATACTAACAATTCAATAAGTCTAATAATAACCTCTTCTAGGAAGTTATAAGTAATGAGTTTTGTAATAGAGAGATATAATCGAAAAGAAGCAATATTCGTCGTATCGACTATGATTCGTACTAATAACCTTACTCCATAGAGTCTCATTAAGAAAAAAACGACATAAGAGTAGGAGCCGAGCACACATCATGCCGGGTATGCAGAAACAAGAATTCGATGCAAATTTGACGTGCAAGCAAAGCTTTTGCAAGTCAAGCAGCAGTCCTAGGAAGACCGTCACTGTGTGGTACCAATAAGAATCCAAGATCATGCATGTGAGTCGGATGGGGCCCATGCGCGGGTTTCTAGGATGTTATTTAACTCAATTAACCATGATATTTGAATAGATAATTAACATAGGCTGATGCTTACACATTATAATTAAGTGTCACCAGTCAACTGGAATGATTACTATTTTATTGGAAATGAGTAAAGGAACAAGTAACACTAATCTAATTGCTTATACTTTAAAGTCGATAATATAGGAGATTGTCGGCTATAAGATACCGGTCAGTCGATTGGACATGAGATGCCAGATATTGGGCGAGTCATTTCGAGATACGTAACTGTTGTCGCAGCAGTCCATAGTATGCCTGTAGCTACACTTTGGATAGTATACAAGGTAGAGATAATATCGATTAAGATCTATCTCATTAATTCTCTGTAGTATCTATTTTGCGAGCAGCGGGTTTTCTGTGGCTGAGTCTGGTTGTAAGGACTGCGGGTAATAGTATCACAAGACTATCCACATAATATTGCCTAAAATCTCGATCCTAGCCCATAAAGACTCGAGACTGTGGGGTTAGAATAGATGTGAATCTAATGATCGTTTAGGGTAGTGTTATAAGCTTTTGTATCTCTGTTGCTTGCCAGTTATTGGCTTCAATTATTATGCAATAGCAATTCTAAGTAACAATGAGTATCATAGGGGAGTATGGTCTCTTTGAAAGGAGACAAATTATTGTGTTTTAATAGTTAAGTGTTACGTCGTCCGCCACTGTACAATTTTTAAGAGTTCGTGCACTATCAATGTATGTCAGTGTGAGCATAGAATAGCCATTTTTTCTGTGAATTCATATCACAACGTACGGATACAATTCTCCAGACTGTACACGATACTTCGATTGAGTTATGTTCAAATCGAAACGTCTCAGTGTTTCTCGTATCTATCCTAAAGTAGAGGCAACTGGCTTTAAATATAAATTTGGTTAATTATTGGTTCATTACGCATGAACTTGTATATATTCCGATTGAAGTGAAGTAAGTGATGTATGTTTGAATATCTTATCTCAAGATTGAACCCCGATCTTTGAGATTGATAAGAGTGATCAGCAAGTCAATAATTAGAGGACTGAGCATTTAATGAGATGTGTGGAATTGTTAATTATTGGTATGACAGACTATGAAACAATTCAACAATCTATCACATATTATTTTTCAATCACCCTTTGGTGGATGGTCTACCATACAATCTGTAAATTTGAAGAGAGGATGACTTTTGCGTTCATGTCATTCGACATCCAGTGTTCCGGATAGCATGTCAAATGTACGGCTATTGTTTATTGACCACTATGATCAATACTAAGAGCCTCGATCGTAATTACTTAACATGTATATCGTAGGAAGTATCCGTAGTATGATCTGAGATATTTTGCTTTGAGGAGCCATATCATGCTATTACTGTAGCCTTTTAGATGAGTTCGTAGATGTTATTTGGGTGCAACCAATAATCAACACTGACACGGTTGCGAATGAATTTTTTCGTCATTCTAGCTCGTATTCAAGCTTTATGTTAGCGAACATAAGAAATTTTACCTATATCACATAATTACTGGAATGACATTTGGTATCGTAGCTTTATGGAGATTGGTAACTGTGTCTTAGAGCGTTGGCCTTTCATTCTCTTCATACTATGATGAAAGCTATTTTGAACTGGTCATGACAGTACATCTTGCGGATCATATCTAATCCTAATAAAGAAGCTAAATAAAGATTCTTAGGATTCTCGGTTAAAGGTCTGTTATATTATAATATGCATTATTTGGTGGTAATTTGCTATCATTGATACAGACAGCTAGTTGGATGAGAAATTTAATGCTGATGCAACCTCTTGGCAGAAGGGATCCACTTGTGCAAGGGGATGGATTTATAAGGCGCCTTGATAGGAGAGCTGTAGAAGGGGATAGGAATTGTGAGTTTTTGATTTGGAGTGCACAGGAGTCCTTGACTGAAAGGGATCACAGTGGTCTGCTCCGATGTGATATATCTTTATTGTACATACATCTTCATTCGCACCAGCTCTGCTGCTCAATTAGATACAGCGTTCGAGTCTCTCAATATGGCCTAGTAAATCTTGATTAGAGGTTCAACGAATCGACATATATGGCGGTAGATTAGAGCCTGGAAGGTGGTGCATAGATGCATTCTCAAGAATGACTGCTTCTGCCTTCTCCCGTGCTAGTGGATAAAATAGAGAATTAGGTCATTTGTGCAATCTATTAGAGAGGGTGCATAGTCTGAGTATTGGTTTGAGCTCCTAGCCATGATTACACAGTAATGTGAAGTAATCCAGTAAAAGTGAGGTGTGTTAAAGGATTTTCTACCGTTGTTGTGGGGGGTAAAGATGAAGATACATTTTGATAGTAAAAAATTCCCCTCATCATCTCCGTTTGCAGATAGGTAGTGCATCTTAGACGAAGTGGCTTGGTCTATCTTGATTCCACAGTGATCAAATCTATATCTTATGGTGGTGTTTTACCATTTACTGTTTTATTTTCCTTTTTGCATCCTATAATTGCTATACACTATAATGCTTGTGAGAATATTAATG